ATAACATTAGGATAAGTTATGATAATATTCAGTATTTGATATGTGGTGCAACACTAATAACCTAATAGCTAGACTACCATTATGATTAGGAGTCTGGTTAGGGTTTAGGAGACCTAAAGACAATCAACCACAATGATGGCCAGTGGTTATATAAGGTCACTAGTCCTCTCACTGCTCACATTACATACCTCATACACCATCTAGAGAGAGCTGAGTAAAGTGAGAGACAAAGCACTTATCATCTCTGCAGCAGTCCGGATCACATATAAGATTATGCATGTGATATTTTAGTCTAACAGTTGGTATCAGTCGCCATAAATAATCTCTGCCTAGTTTTTTTTTAATTGCTTAAATGTTTGCACATTTATATATTTTGTTATATAATTGAGATACATGTGTAAATATTCTTGAGTATGCAATTAAATTTTCTGGACTGCTGAAAATAATTTTCCGCATTAAGAATTAATTAAAAAAAAAAAAAAAATTCAAATTTTGGATTTTTGCCACTGTTTCGCCGTTTCTACCGGATGAGGTTCGCCGGTCTTGAGTACGTCGCTGGCGGCTCATCGTTGACGGAGGAGAACGCCGGAAGTTTACATAAAAACTAATCCGGTCATTCTTCCTTCAGTACCGTCGATGATGGAGCTTCGTTTTTCCGGTGATGGAGCGACGACGACGTACAGGGTTCAGTCGGCCGGCGAACGGCGTTGGCGTTGGTTGGCGGTCAGGCGGCGTCTGCGCTGGGTTTCCCAGCGACGGTGCTACTGTCTGCTCTCCTTCCGGCGTCCTTTGGTTGTTGTTGTCGCCGGTTTCCTGTTGCTGGTCTGTTCGTTGCTGCTACTGCTTATGTTAGAAAATTGAAGAAGATGATGATGTTATGTTAATGGGCCAGGTCTGGCCCAATTTGGGCTAGACCTGGGCTCACTAAGAAAAAAAAAATTGTAATTTTTTTTTTAAATTGGGCCTGTTATGGTTCTGGGTCAAACCTGAATTGATATTTGGACTACATCAATTCATTCAGATTAACATCTTCATCATATTCGGACTTCTTCTAATTAAATTATCCAATTGATTTTTTTTTTATTAAGTCTATTATTAAATTATTATTCAACTTTGAATAATTATTCAGTTTTAATTTTTCAGTTGAATTTTTAATTTAATAATGTTTTTCAGTTTAAATTGTATTAAGTGTTGCAATTTAATTGTGGAGTATTTGTGAGTAATATGCATAATCTGAGCATGCTATTTATCTCTTTATTGCAATAATTATTTGATTGTTATAATTATATGCCTATAGAAAAGCATGTTCATTAAGAAAAATTTAGAGCCTTTTAGGTCTGAATTATATGCTATGCCTGAATTAGTGCCTTTTAGGTGAATTAGTGCCTTTCAGGTTAGATTATGCATATTATTACTCAACCTTCAGTTATTACTCCACTCGTGTTTTATAAAGTTCCTAAAGCACATTAAGTACATAAACAATTCGTAGTTTACCCTATTCAAAGCCTTATCCATAGGTGAAACTACTCTTTAGATCTCTCAAACGATTTTACTTCAAAAATGAGAACACATGAATTAGGGAAGTTTCTTGGGGAGGAATACTAGTTCTATGGCCCTGGCTTAAAAGCCTTGTTGCTACTAGTCCCCTTGCGACGCTACTCTGTCTAAGGAGTTGGTATTTAACCGAGCTTCGTCTCGACCAACTTTCCTGGGAGTATACCTAAGGATTGTCTATCATATTTTGGTTTAATCTGTTTGATTATTAGGTTTTCTTGCTAATGTGATTATGTTCTTTGGCTAATTAAAGAGTAGCCACAGCATCTTTAATTTTTCCAAAATTACATATTAAGTTTTACTCACATAAAGCTAATGCAAGAATATTGTAATTCACTCTGCGTGATATGGCAAAATTTAGCCCACAGGCAATTTTGTTATATTTGTAGGGTGAATTAGGATGAAATACCATACTATGATCATAATTTGCCCACAGGGATTATGTATCGGCATATAGTTTTGGTAGTTTTGTCATTAAGGGTGGAAAAATTAAAATCGCCCCCATTTCGTTTCCACCATTCAGTTTTGGTAAATTCATTATGCGTAAAAATTTAGCCCACAGGCAATTTTTATGGCATCCGAATTTATCTTTTGCATAATTTTACATTGGTAATATTGTGTACTTCAGTATCTCTCTCTAATTTTGTGCCTCGAAAATATTCTAACCAAGCTTTCAATTTTTTCTTTTACAGTCACTCTTCCAATCACTCAATCAATAACAATTGATATTCCTATCCTCAATTATGACAATCACAAAGAGTGGAAAGACGCTGTTTTATTGAATTTAGGAATATTGGGGTTTGATTATGCTCTTCGCAATAAGAAGCCTGCTGAGCTTACTGCGGAAAGCACTGAGGAACAAAAAACGCTATACGAGCGATGGGCAACAGCCAATCGCTTAGGCGTATTCCTCATTAAGTCTAAAATTGCCAGAGAGATTCGTGGTCCCGTCGATGATATTGAGAACATTGAGCCATTACTCAAAGCCATCGATGAGCAATTTGTTGACGCGAATAAATCTCTGGCAAGTACCCTGATAATGAAGTTTATCAATATGCGTCTTTCCACTGTCAAGGGAACGCGGAAACACATCATGGAACTCAGGGACATTGCGGCACAATTGAAGAAGTTGAAAATTATTCTTCCAGATGCCTTTGTGGTGCACTTTGCACTAAATACCCTATCTCAGGAATATAGCGCGTTTAAAATTGCCTATAATACACATAAGGATGAATGGTCTATCAATCAATTGATTACCATGTGTACTCAAGAGGAAACACGACTTGTAACTGAGCTTGGGGAAAGTGCTTTTATGGCCACAACAAGGCCTAAAAGAAAGTCTGGAAAACCTAAGGGACTTACCATAGCTGCCAAGGAGAAACTAACCCCGAAAGCAGACATTAAGAAGATACAAAAGTGTTTCTTTTGCAAAAAGAAGGGACACATGAAGAAAGATTGTATCAAGTTTCAGAAATGGATGTCCCAAAAAGGTAACATTTCATCTTCTTTCGTTTGTTTCGAATCTAACATGTCAGAAGTTAATACTAATTCCTGGTGGGTTGACTCTGGTTCAACAATCCACATTGCAAACTCTTTGCAGGATATGACAAAACTGAGACAGCCAAAGGGAACTGAGTGTAGCATCTTCTCTGGAAACAAGATTGCGTCACCAGTAGAAGCTGTCGGAGTTTGCAATTTAGTTTTGGACAATGGCTTTGTATTGACATTAGAAAAGACTTTTTATGTTCCTAGTTTTTCTAGGAACTTAGTTTCAGTATCTAGACTTGTACCCTTCGGATATTCTTTTGAGTTTAATACCAATAATATCAAGTTATTTCGTTATTCTACTTGTGTTGGTACTGGTACATTGTCTAATGGTCTTTTCCGTCTTAAATTAAAGAATGATTCAGTTTACAATTCTTTACATGTTCAAAACGGCACCAAACGGTGTAGTATTAACGACAATTCCTCAATGTTGTGGCATCGGAGATTAGGTCATATCTCCCTTGAGCGTATTAAAAGGTTGGTAAAGGATGGAGTACTTTCTACTCTAGACTATACTGACTTTGAGACTTGCGTTGACTGCATTAAGGGTAAGCAGACAAACAAGTCAAAGAAAGGTGCCAATAGAAGTTCAACGTTGTTGGAAATTATTCATACTGACATATGTTGTCCTGATATGACAATACCTGGTCAGAAATATTTCATCACCTTTATTGATGACTTCTCAAGATTTTCCTATGTGTATTTACTTCATCATAAACATGAAGCATTGGATGCCTTTAAATCATTTAAAGCTGAAGTTGAAAACCAATGTAACAGGAAAATACACATAGTTAGGTCTGATAGGGGTGGTGAATACTATGGTAGATATACTGAGAATGGACAAGCACCTGGTCCCTTTGCTAAGTTTCTTCAAGAGCATGGGATTGTTGCCCAATACACCATGCCTGGTTCTCCGGACCAAAATGGTGTAGCTGAAAGAAGAAACCGGACCCTTCTGGATATGGTGCGGAGTATGCTTAGCAACTCTAAGCTTCCTAAGTCGTTGTGGGATGAAGCGCTTAAGACGGCAACGTATATATTAAACCGTGTTCCAACCAAGGCTGTCCCTAAGACACCGTTTGAGTTATTCAAAGGTTGGAAACCGAGTTTGCAACATATGCGTGTTTGGGGATGTCCGTCTGAGGTGAGGATATATAACCCACACGAGAAGAAACTTGATCCAAGGACGATTAGTGCTTTCTTTATTGGATATGCACAATCTTCTAAGGGTTATAGGTTCTATTGTCCATCTCATACTACTAGGATAGTGGAATCAAGGAATGCTAAATTTCTTGAAGATGACTTGATTAGTGGGAGTGATCGGTTTAAGGACTTAGTTCCTTCCTTCGATCATATTGACTCTCAACCTTCTATGTCATCTGGTGGGGTTGTACTTATCCGCAGTGCTCCTTTAGTTATGCCTACAGATATACCACCTACCGTTGAGATTCCACAAACTGTTGAGGATCAGCCTTTGGAAGAACCAGTTCAGGACTTACAGCAACCGCCTGAACTAGATTTCGAACCAATGGTTGAACCAACTCAGGATATACAGCAAGATTCTGAGCCGATGCAGACTGAACCGATTCAAGAACTGCCACCAGTTCCTGAAGAGGTAGTTGCCCCGCAGCCTGTACAAGGTGATGAGGGTCCAACCTTAAGACGGTCTACTCGGGTAAGGCGATCAGCAGTTCCTAGTTATTATGTTTCGTATCTACAAGAATCTGACATAGGGGCTGAAGATGATCCTGAAACATTCTCTCAAGCCACAAATTGTGCACAGTCTGACTTATGGTTAGAAGCCATGAAAGATGAGATGAATTCCATGAAGGACAATGGAGTTTGGGATCTTGTTGAGTTGCCTAATGGGGCCAAGGCCATTGGCTGTAAATGGGTTTTTAAGACTAAAAGAAACTCATTAGGCAACATTGAGAGATACAAGGCCCGGCTTGTTGCCAAGGGATTTACTCAAAAAGAAGGAATCGATTACAAGGAGACTTTTTCTCCTGTATCAAAGAAAGATTCACTTCGTGTCATTCTGGCATTAGTTGCACATTTTAATCTTGAGTTGCAACAAATGGATGTGAAAACCGCTTTCCTAAATGGTGATCTAGAAGAGGAGGTTTATATGAAACAACCTGAAGGTTTCTCTTCTAGGGGTGGTGAGCATTTAGTATGTAAGCTTAAGAAATCCATATACGGTTTAAAACAAGCCTCCCGTCAATGGTACATCAAGTTCGATGGGGTAATTTCTTCATTTGGTTTTGTTGAAAATCCCTCGGATAACTGTATATACCAGAAGGTGAGTGGGAGTAAAATTTGCTTTCTTGTTTTATATGTGGATGACATCTTACTTGCCACCAATGATAAGGGGATGCTTCGTGATGTGAAACAATTTCTTTCTAAAAACTTTGATATGAAGGATATGGGTGATGCCTCTTATGTTATTGGCATTAAAATTCAGAGAGATAGGTCCCGAGGTATACTGGGTTTATCTCAAGAAACCTATATAAACAAAGTTTTAGAGAGATTTCATATGCAAAATTGTTCACCAAACGCTGCTCCCATATCTAAGGGGGATAGATTCAGTTTGGACCAATGTCCGAAAAATGATTTGGAGAAGGAATCCATGGAGAACATCCCTTATGCTGCAGCAGTTGGATGTCTTGGATATATCCAAGTCTGTACGAGGCCGGATATTGCTTTTGCGGTTGGAATGCTAGGGCGTTACCAACACAATCCGGGGTTGGACCATTGGAGAGCTGTAAAGAAGGTTCTAAGGTATCTCAAAGGAACCAAAGGTTACAAGCTTGGGTTTAGGCAGACGGACAATTTAGATCTTGTCGGTTATTCAGACGCGGACTTTGCTGGCTGTGTTGATTCTCGAAAATCAACTTCAGGGTGCGTCTTCATTATGGCCGGTGGGGCTATCTCATGGAGAAGTGTTAAACAGTCCTTAATAGCTACTTCTACCATGGAAGCCGAGTTCGTTTCCTGTTTCGAGGCTACTTCACAGGGTGTTTGGCTAATGAATTTTATCTCTGGGCTTAGAATTATGGATTCTATATCTAAGCCATTGAAAGTCTACTGTGACAACTCAGCTGCAGTCTTCCTAGCTAAGAACGACAAAAGTGGAAGTCGAACTAAGCACATCGACATCAAGTTCTTAGCAATTAGGGAGCGTGTCAAAAATAAAGTTGTATTCATTGAACACATTCATACTGAGTTGATGTTAGCAGATCCCTTGACTAAAGGCATGCCACCATTTAAGTTCAAGGATCTGATTCAGAAAATGGGACTTTCGCCCAATTTGTAATTTGTATATATACATTCAGTTTTAATAAAATTCTTTAGCATTCAGACATTTTCTCAATTAAGTGTGTACACCTTCATTTACTTTATATTGATGAGAAAATGTACTTCAGGGACTTGGAATAAACATAGGGTTTATTTCGTTGGGTTTTGTTTCCTAATTAAGTGCTCAATGGCAGTTTGCATTTGATCATAATGGATACTACTCGTGCTAATGAGAACATATCATTATGGTTGGTGTATTTCTGTTATTGAGTGGTAGTGCTTGCACCAAGTGGGAGAATGTAACGTTTATCCGTTACTATTATTATAACATTAGGATAAGTTATGATAATATTCAGTATTTGATATGTGGTGCAACACTAATAACCTAATAGCTAGACTACCATTATGATTAGGAGTCTGGTTAGGGTTTAGGAGACCTAAAGACAATCAACCACAATGATGGCCAGTGGTTATATAAGGTCACTAGTCCTCTCACTGCTCACATTACATACCTCATACACCATCTAGAGAGAGCTGAGTAAAGTGAGAGACAAAGCACTTATCATCTCTGCAGCAGTCCGGATCGCTCAACCGTAAGAAGAACTATGGCTGGAGGTTAGTACGATCCTATTATCACATATAAGATTATGCATGTGATATTTTAGTCTAACACAGCATGGCCACAAACACAGTGACTACTTCAACAAAGAAAAGATGCATGACTACAAAGAGAAGCACCACTATGGGGACGGGCATATGGTGCAAGAGACAATCATGTTCTCTAGTGACAAGTTAGTGAGTAGTGGAGGGCCTTCTCATGTTGTTATGGCACCAAATAAGCATGAAACCAGGGACTATTCCGGCGACCGCCGCCATGCAGTGCACTACTTTCAGCTCAAGAATTTGGATGATTGAATAGCATGCAGGCATAAAACGATAATTAAAACTCTGGTGAAATAATAAAGGGAGTTTGTTGTGCCAACTACTATATAGTCTGATGACACCTTTGTTACTGGTTCAAAAATAATAATTTCATTTCTATTGCCTCCCCAACTCATATATCCATTTGAATTGAATAACATTATAAATTACATGTGTGCACTAATTACCTATGTTGTTCCTCCTTTATTAGTATATATTAACTTTGTTTTAAGATTTTTATAAGCAATAACATTGTGATCTATCTTATAGCTCATAAAAATCCTAGCCTGGGTAGACAAACTTGAGTTGAGTAGTTTGCGCAACATGCACCAGCTGTTTTTTCCCAGCGGATCTTACAAAACACCTAACACAACTTAAGATTATCCCCAACAATTGGAATTTTTTTTTTCAAATTTTTTGTGGTCGTCCCCAACATTCCAGCTCAACACCAATATCTCACTTAATCTCATAAACCATTCTTCTCAAATAGTTTGAGTTTTTTCAATGTGTGTGGGTGTGTGTGTGTTTTTTTTCTAATCTACCAATCAACAAAAATTATATTTTAAATTATTATTTTTTATTTATTATCATTTTAAAATTGTTGTGATTGTAATTAAAATTATTACTATTTATGAGTAAATTAAACATACCTGTTCAATGAATATCTAGAATAGACAGGAGGATCATCTCTTATTCATCCTCTCTATCCGTATACAAAAAGTATGGTGTACACCTCCGGTTACAGAAAATCGCACACGCCATTCCACACCCGTGCACACACCATCGTAAAATTCCCCATAATTTTAAAAAAATAAAAATAAAAGCCCAATACTACTATATCTACGTTTCGCACACGCCCGAAACTAGTAAAACACAAAGCAAAATGTACATGCTTGTATCACGAAACGCACATACCAAAACGCATAATTTTATGAAAAAAACACGCCATGGTGTACGAGCCCTGTTACAGTAAAACGCACACACCATTCCACACCCACGCACACACTGTCGTAAAATTCCAAAGAAAATTACTAAGTAAGAGAGAGAGAGAGAGAGAAATATTGATTAAGGAGAGTTGAAATAACACTACAAATCTTTATAAACATGGAAATAAATGAAATGTAAAGTAATAAATATAGTGCTTAAGGACAAAAAGACCACTGCTTCATCTAAAATCAGTATAACATGGGATCCAAGTGGTAATCAATCTAAATTGTCAAAAAATTAAAATCAACGATCAGGGAGTGTGCTCACGGGCTCGGCTGACTAGGGGGTGTGCACCGGATTCAAACTCTCTCTCTCTCTCTATATATATATATATATATATATATATATATATATATATATACACACACACACACAACGGTATTAAATGGATGCAATAATTATATAACCGTTACATACGTTACAATAATAATTTTCATAATGATAATGAATTATAACACTCCCCCCTTGAACATTATTTGATCCACAATCTTGCTTCGATAAAAATTTGCTAAGAAAACCCTGTGGAAAAAACCTAGACAAGAAAAGAGTACAATAGATAGTATATTTAAATATATTCATGCCTCATTAAAAACTTCACTAGGAAAACCTAGTTGAAGAAAAGAATACATGATATATGTAAAAATCATATATTGTATTGGTCGCCCCATTAAAACCTTAACTTAAGAAAATCCTGTGGGAAAAAAACTTAGTTAAGTGAAAAAGAGTACAACCACAAGTCTTCCAGGCTTAATCTTCAGGATTTTGGGGTTTGTCTTATTTAAGTATTTTCTTGCAACTTTCCCCGTTCACTATATCATACTCATGCCTCATTAAAAACCTTAGATTTAGGGAAAAACTTAACTAAGGAAAAAGAGTACAACCGTTAATCGTCAAGACCCAATGTTCAGGATTGATTCATGTAAAATTATACTCCCCCTCAAGATAACAATCTTTAAGTCCTATACATTAAATTTCCAAAATGTATAGAGGAATTTATAAATAAATATGTACAACTGTCAATGGAATGAATATACTTTATAATAATCTCATGACTCTTCTGGAGCTCACGTGGGTATAATATTGACATCATAATGTCTAGTCAAAAGATTTCATTGTATATCCTTTTATCATTTGTGCAACACAAACTTTATTGTCCCTTTATAGAACAATCACTACTACAGAATTCACATACAACGTCGCCCTTTTAACGTTGGCGAAATACTTAGCCGACTGATGGTTTTTGGGTTTTCGGGCCCAAGGAGGTCCAACACAACCTTTAGCTGGAGGATACACCTTTCAATAAAAAGCTTGCTAAAATAATATGAGCTCGATAATTTTGACGTGGAAACCGAAAGGAAAACCACGGGCCTTTTTGGGCGGTGCCAAGCCTAACTCCACTATGTATTTTGTAGGTGTCTTTGTACATACTTGCAGGGCTATTCTCTACACAAAGTGTTGTGTTTCTAATAATATAGCAATAATAATAGAAAGAAGAGTGATGGAATGGTGTGGAAGAGTCATCCCATGTGTATAGATGAGTGGTAGTCTTCTTCATGTGGATGAATGAGTGGCGTGGGAGGAGTATTCTTTGTCTTGTGGCATAGTGCCCTTTTCATGATGAAGCCTCTCCCCTCCTTTTTATAGCTAGCCCATCCCAAAAGTGTCCGTTGGACATTTAGTAGGGTAGTGATGGGTGATAATTAGGGGGTTATGGATAATAATAATAATGGGGTAATAAGTGGGAGGTTAGGAATGGTGGGGTAGTAAATAGGACTTTAAGGGTAGATAATTAGGAATTTAATAGGGGCTAACGGCTAGTTTTAGGCCGACCCTCTACCCGTGCCGATCCCACACTCGCGCCGACTCCCGGGTCGAGCCGACTCCTCAGCTTGGCCCGTATCTCTTTTGGGCTTACTCCATTTTACTCTTGGGCTTTGCTTCTTCTTCTTGGGCTTGATCTCTTTTCTTCTTGGGCCCCGAGCCCACGGGGTTCACACCCCATCAACTAGTCCCTCACTTTTCTATGTCTCGCACTCAGCAGGGCATGGAAAAGTATATTGTTTTGCCTCAAAATTCCCTTTATTAGCCCCCTCGATTTTTGCCGACTCCTTATCCAAGATTTCACACGACTCCATCCTCATGACTTATCTTCGTTTGCCATATGACCGACTGCTTCAGTGGATTTGACCCTCTGGCTTCGAGCCCCTTTTTTCTATAGCTGTCGAAGTGAATCTCGGCTGTAACTTTTTCTTTTTCTAATAAACTTCTAAGGGTTCGGACCCTCGATTTCTTCTTTATTCGCCGAGTCCCTCAGTCGAGGCGACTCTTCGGTGGTAGCTTCTTTTTCTTCTAAGAAATGACTAGGGTTGGAACCCTGGTTTCTTTTCTCTTTTTTTTTTTTTTTTTTTTTTTTTTTTTTTACTCTAAGAAACGTCTAAGGGACAGTGCCCTTTGTTTCTTTTCTCTTTTTCTTTTGCCGAATCCCTGCTCGAGGTGATTCGTTTGGCTTTTTCTCTTAAGAAACGTCTAAGGGTCCTGGCCCTTGTTTCTCTTCTCTTTTCTTTGCCGAGTCCATGCTCGATCGAGGCGACCCATTAGGCTTTTTCTTTCTCAGAAACGTTTTAGGGTCAGTGCCCCATCGTTTCTTTACATACTCGCCGAGTCCCTCAGTCGAGGCGACTCCTCTTGGCTTTTTCACGGAAACGACTAAGGGTCTGGGCCCTTGTTTCCTATCTTTTCTCGCCGAGTCCCTCAGTCGAGGCGACTCCTTAGGCTTTTTCTTTCCTTAGAAACGGTTTAGGGTCAGTGCCCCGTCGTTTCTCTTTATACTCGCCGAGTCCCTGCTCGAGGCGAGGCCTGGCTATGATTCTTCTTTTCTAAGTAAACTTCTTAGACTCTTGGTTCTTTTACTAACTCGAGTGACTCTCGGTTGTAGCTTTACTTCTTCTTCCCTTTGTATAGCCCCTTGTGGATGAGAAATTCCCCGAGCAATATTTTGAAATGTATATACTTTCTCTGCCACTAAATTTCCATGCCGAGTCGTGCTCCCGTATTGTACGCCACATATGTACCCCTTCTATTTTTGTTATTTTCACTGGCTTTGGAGAGATCGTTGGTACTTTTTGTATATTTGCAAATTTCCCCCTTCCTCGTCTTCTATTCGTATAACTAGATGGGTCAACCGCCCAAGGTCCGAGCGCTCGGTGGTTGACCTTGAATCTAGGTGAGTGGACAATCCGATGTCCGACACGGAGTGGTCGGCCCAACGCAAATGGGCGAACCTACTGGGTCAGACTCTCGGAGTCGGCTTTGAATCTGCCTGCTTTCTTTACTGATTGCCACGTACCATTTAATCACGCACGGAAGTTCAAGGATCTTCGAATATAATTGTCAAAAAATATACTCTCCATGTCTCCTTGCCAAAGTTGCCACAGCCACGTACTGCCTGCAGGCTTTCTCACAAAAATTTTGGCCTTCAACTTGTCTTTGCCCAATATACTTCAATTCCATGCACTTTGAATATAAAGTAGACGTATCCTTATCTTTTTCGTCTCCAATTTGCGTGCCAGGTATTCGTCATATTTCAAAGTCTTCATTAATTCCATTGCTCTTGTCGAATACCGACCCCTTTCTTTGCCGGGTGTTTTTCGTCGAGGGCTTCCCTACCGGTTGGGAGCTTTGTCACCATCGATGCCGACCCCGTGTCACGAGTCTGATCAAGTCGTGACACAGGTACTCAAAGCAAAAGAAGTTGGCGCAACGTGGATTCGGCGGACTTTGCGGGATTTACCGTTCTCCATTGTGCATTGCCTTCGACCGTGGGAGCAAAACTCGACCACGGGATCAGCAATCGCAGTTCCAATCCAAGTCTCTCGGTCTGAGTGGATTCCTCCTCGACCCTGCATCCTTTCCGTCAACACAGCAAATTTCTGGCTGGTCCTTGTGATTCTAACTGCATTTCTAAAACGTAAAGACTCCATTGCATGGTTCCATTGATTCTATTGGCCATTCCTGTAAACAGACCAGAGGATCTCGAAGGCGAGCTTAATTGATCGAATTTTTGTGCCGAGTCCACCGTCATCGACTCTCCCCTCGTCGACAGTCGAGAGATTTAGGAGTGGTGTCATACGCCCCACTTGGCGAGCCAATCAGGAGCGACGCTTTGACAAGTCCGAAACCAATACATAAAAATTGGT